AAGTTGTAAAATAAAATTATAAAACGGAACAAATTTACTGGAATTCGTGACATTTGGTTATTGGGAAACTTTGCTATTTAATGATTTTTTTTAAATAAAAAATAAGTGTTTAATGAATCAACTATATTAGAAATTGTCGTGTTACAAAATGTCAAAGGATACACCATGATTCAAACAGTTTTATGTATTAATCCATGCCATCTATTTAATGAAAGTAAGTAGAATAAAGTAATGCCAAATTTGCGTGTATAATAATTTTCTTATAACTTATACACCTTTAAAAGTAAGATTTTTACCTACTTTTAGATAAGCTGAATTAATCTGTGATGTTTATATACATGTATATACAACTTTAATAAATAAAGAATATATTTAATTAAATTATTATGATTTCAGTAGAATAGTAGATGATCAACATGTAATATATATTTATATGTTATTTTATATTCTTCAATACAATTATTTAAATATCTTTTACATTTTGTTTGACATTTAACACTTTAAATAGAAAAATTAATTGTTTAAATATTTAATCTTGACGTTTTAAAATTCATTGTAGTAGTTTCTGTATTGGAAATGATATAAACTTAGACAATATTTTGTATATTTTTTGTTTAAAATGTGTCTGAACATTAAAAAACATATTAAACTACTCTAAATCCCCTAAAATTACTGAATTTATATATTAAATTACTCTTTATAATCTAATATAAAATTAAAATTAAAAAAATATTTTGAAAGATAACTTATTTTCTGGCATTATTTTTATATACAAAATTCTGCAATCATCACAAATTATCCTAATTTTGATTAGCTGTTTAATATTTTAACATATAAATAATAATTTTTTTATTTAATTACTTAAAATAAACTAATTATTGCACGTAAAATATATGATACTGCCAATTTTTAATATGGTTAATTCATTTAAAAAAATATTACATAATTTTGACTTAATCCTCCATGTTATATACCATTTAATAATTATTAATAGAGAAAAATAAATAAATTTACAATATTTTCGAATAATATTCTATCTGGAGCTGAACTCGAACCTTTAATCAAGAATTAATTATTTTTTCCTTCATTATCCCGAGAAAGAGAGAGAGAGATTTTTAAAGAAATAATAATAATAATAATAATAAAACAGAACTTTTATTAAATTACAACATTGCTTTAAGGTTATGAAAATATTAAAATGAACAATGCAACAGTTTAAGAATATTCTTTCATGAGTATGTATGTGTGTCTGTACGTAGCTTCGGGGTCAATGCGTATATATAAAATGGACTCATATCTTTCAACTAGATGAATCACGTGGTTTAATAACTAAATATTCAGAAAATAACTTGAAAAGAAATATGTATATAAAAAAGAGAAAAATCTTTTTATATTCAAGTCTTTTCTATTGTAAAAAATTGATTTTTATACACTATTTCCTTGGGCAATAAATATTTATTTTTATTCATAAACATCAAAAGAGAAGAGAATATGGTTCAGGGAGTTAGAAGATCTTAGTAAATTTTAAATAGCTTAAACGATAGGAACGTATTTAAAAATATATTTACCTTTTAATATTTAAACGAAATGCAATATAATATATATATTTTTTTTAAATTGGTAAAATTTATTATTTGATAAAATATAGAAAACAAGATATTTTTATCTGAAATCAAAAGTTTTATCTTTTATTAAAATTTTAATTAAATTCATTTAAAATTAATAATAAAAGGTAATTTTATTAATATGGATGTATTATATATATAATCGAAATTTACTTTTAAGATAAAGAATGGTTTAAAACAGCAGAACGTTATATCTTAGAAAAACATTTTCAACAACGAGTTGCATAACTTTCCTGGCTGTTATGAGATTTTATTTAAAAAATAACTTTTATGTTATTAATAATCACAATAAATAAAATTGTATGTGGCTCCATCTGTTGTGCGATTTTGGTAAAAAACTTACAGAAAACAGTTAATCCAGATACATTTTTATCACTATACAGTACCTACATAAGGGGAAAGTAGGCTCAAATCGCGTCAGTTTCTATAAAAATGTGTATAAAATTTTTAAATGGCATAACAACGTCAATTCAATTATTCTATCACTAAGATACATATTTAGTCTACCACATATATATTTTTCAGATTTTTCACTTCACACAATTAGTTTTTATATAAAATTCTGCAAAAGGTAGCATTCGGAGGAGTAATCTTAAATTACATCAGAAGTCTCTAAAATCGCATTTATACTTAAAGTTTATTATTTTTCGAGTAATTAATATGCATTACTCACTAACACTTATTTTAATTTACTGTTCTTAGTAGTAAAAACTACGAAACAATAAAAATTGAATCTCATATACCAATTTTCGTGCACTTATAATCGTTTGAACGAATATTTTGTAATAGAATGACATATATTTTCCACACTTTCTTTTATTAAATAAAATGTGAATTAACAATACAAATCATTCTCACAAGCAATGATTTTCTAACTTTATAAAATAAAAAAAAATTAATTGTTTTTATAAATTTAATTTACAATATATTTATTACATTTTTCGAAAAATAATTAGAAATAAATTTAAATAAAAATGCTTTTTAAACATTCTTCTGACATTTAAAAATTATTATTAATGAATTAATTACAGATAAAAAGATTTAATAAAGAAAATATGATACGAATTTCTTAGTTTTTATAATAATTATCTGTTTTTTAATATTTATAAAATTTTTAATTTTTTTAAATAATGATTTTTGTAAATTTTGCCAATTAAAATTTTATCCTTAATTAATTAATCGATAAATATTTTAATACACATTTTTATATATTTATTTTTACTTTGAATTTTTATGCATTTTTCTAAATTTTTAATTAATATAATGTAACTTTTTACTTTTATTTTATAAAAAAATCAATTATAATTTCGTTAAAAGTTTTGCATTTAATAATAAAAATATTCGTTTTGTTATCAAATATTTAGAAATCAAATTTCTGTTTGCTTAATATTAAATAATTATAAAATTTACAATTGTTACTTAAAAACATATTATTTTTTAAATGATTTAAAAATTAATTTAATAAAAAAGTAAAAATATAAAGAAAACTGCGTAACTTTTCCGACCAATAAAAAGTTAAAATTGTTTGTAGCACAATCCATTATGATATTCTATTTTAAAAAATTTATATTATTAATTATTATAGATTGGAAAAAAAGCTTAATTTTCAGGTAGAGATGAGTTTTATTTTTAAAAATTTGTACATGCTAATAACGCGTAAAATCTTCATTTAGTCCTACCCTACTCGAGATATGATGCATGACCCCTTCTATCTCTTCACTCCCTTGACCTTTAGCTACCAAAATTTAACAGTTTCAACACCCCTAATACATAAACCTCCCTGTAAAATTTCATAAATTTTTGACGAAAAGCACAGAAGTTATTAAGCTTCAAAAAGGGTGAACACAATCGTGCCCCCACACAGAAACATACATACATACGTATGTATGTTTTAAAAAATAAAAATTAAATAAACTCATAGAGATAATATAATCTATTTATGAAAAATATAAATGAAATATTTATAAAATGCGATAAAATCCTTTTCTTCTATACAAAATATTTAAGACATTTTTATACATCGAGGGAATCTTTAATACTTTATAGAAAACCCTATCATTGAGAAATTTCAAAGTAAGATTTTTAGATTCTAATACTCACATATATATATATAAATTCCATGATAAGTATGTAAAATATTATTTATGCATAAATTCGTGATGAATACCATTCATGAATTACAGATTTTCTGATGGCCAATTTAACAAAATGCAAGAATTGCCGAATGGAGTATATAATGGAAAAAGCAAATTTGTATATCAATTGAGAATTTTTAGAATATTTCTATAATTTTAATTTATAATTTTTAGCTTTACATTTTTTCTTAACCTGGTATTAAAATTACGTTTTTATTCAGTTATATATTACAAATATAGTGTGGTTTAACGTTGTGACGTTTCGTTAATGAATGAATTAAGGAATTATTTAATAAAAATATATATTTTTCAAATATATAAAGTTTCCCGAAAGTCAGTTAACCATTGTAAAGGCTAAATTTACGTAGTTACCAGCTCACAATGACCTCGACAGTTCAGGCACTCGCGGTATGTCTGTTATGAAATTCTTGAAATTCCTGCTAATTTGAACCACCCAATGACCAAAAAAATGAGAGTTCTGTTCTGCCCTGGTTTCACTTATATCTTTATCATGTTTCTTCACTTTTGAAAAAGAAAAACTCGTTCTAATCTCAATTCACAATTCACGTTTACAAGTGTGCTGGAACACACATAAAAGCACGGTTAACTGATTTTTGAGCAATTAAATTTTATTACGTGTAGATAATTTCTACGGCAACTTCTTGGATTTGTCTATATTAAAAACACGCAATTTTCAAGTAAGTTATTATCGATCAACTTCACTTACAAAATTCTAAAAGAAAACCCCGAAAATATTTATTTATTCTAGTAAAATGCTGAAAAATTCTAAATACAATACTTAAAGTTAAAATATTCAGTAGATATTAGGGTATTTTATCGTATATAAAGATAAAATATTCAATACTTGTCGCATAACATCAATTAAATTAAAACTGCTTTTATAACTTTAAAATAAAGCAAATAAATCAAAATATTCATCAATATTTAAAAGTTTTTTTTATATTATTCATATTATATTATTCACTAAAAAAATTACTTTAAAGTAATAAAATTCAAATAAAATATTAAATAATTTCAAGAATAATAAATAATAAATCACTTATTATATTTAAATAAATAATGAATCACACTTCAAGAGATTCATATGTAAAATAATAGAATTTAAATGAAATTTTAATTAATTGTATGAATAACAAAAATATGCGTATGTTAAAGTTATTAAATTATGTTAAGTATGTAAATGACAGTGATTTAATATGTTAGAAAGGTTAAAAGGTACCTTCATGATTCCATTCCAGTTATCTCCTGTGGCCACACGAAATAAAGTGAGGAAAGCCATTCCAAAATTCCTAAAATGAGCGTGTTCACCTAAACCTTGACACGGAAATATTTCGGTACATTCTGCAACGTAAAACAATTTATAATGTTTCAAATGTTTTCCTTTATTGAGATTGATACGAATTTGAGAATTTGAAAGAATAAAATTTACCAAGACGACCGAACAATTCCACTCCCAAAGCGGCAAAAATAAAAAATAGCAGAAAGAATAAAAGCCCAAGGTTCCCTACTTGTGGTAATGCCTGCATCACTGTATCTAACAGAGCACGTATACCTTTGGCCATTTTTAATAATTTCAATACTAAATTTCAATAAAAATAACAATTAATAAAGTTTATATATATGCCATTGCTACTTCATTGATAAGTTTGTTAATCAAAAGTGACAAGATTCTCATTCTGACAGATTCAAAATATAAATAAGATCAAAATTTGCTGACAAAATACGTTTTAATTTTTTTAAAATATATATATTTTACATAATACAGAGTGATTCAAAAAGTCCGTAAAAAACAGGCTACCAGAAGGGATGTACTTGTAATGTGTGTGCACATAACAT